GTTAATGTTAAAGGGAAAGTAACAACAATCCGTCGACACAAGGAATTCGAATGGACGATGTCTGTTCCAGATCGACAGTGTCCAGGAAGAGCCTGACGGTTTCAACTGCGGTGAAGAAAAGCGGCGCAGGAGTGGCGCAGGTGGACGGCAGCTCGGACGGTAATGCGGGTGTTGTCTCCCCTCGTCAACCACCTTTGATTTCCTCTCCCTTACCACAACCCCCCACCCCACTCGCAGGCCAGGGTAGGCTACTAGAAGAGAAAAACGATCGGATTTCCAAAGAGAAGCAAAAGTTTTTTAGGCTGAGTGCATTTAACGCGGAGCACAATAAGTTGAAGCGGGTGGGGGGCGGTGAGAAGTCGAAATGTTCGCAGGACGTTAGTCCTAGGTTAACTCGGGGTAACGCGAGCCAGAAGCAGCAATCCATGCTCGGTAAAAAGGTAGTAACGCCAATGTCTAGTAGTAGCAGCAGCAGCGACGCGAGCGATAGCGATTCTTCCGACGACTCGAGTGATACGACCAATGATGACGACGAAGACGACGCGGAGGAGGAGGGGAATGGACAGGGGGGAGAAGAGGAGGAAGAGGTGAATGGTAATAGCTCTAGCACATCCAGCAATACGTCCACTTCGGACGAGGACGATGACGAAGACGACGACGACGACGACGACGAAGAAGAAGAAGAAGAAGAAGAAGAGGAGGATGACGACGGCGATGATGGTCACAAAAAACGTCGTGCTGTTGTCGTCGGTAGTAGCGGTGGTGGTGGTGGTGGTGGTGGTGGTAGTGGTGGTAATATTACCGGTACCGGTAATTCTCCCAAGCCGAGAGGTCCGTTCTCTTGTGATTTGAACGAGGACAAACCTTGGGGTTTCGCCGCAGCCGCGGCTAAACTAAACATGGAGTCGCCGTTTTTTAGTAACATTACCAACACCTTTGGTGCGCCGTTACCTAAGCTTGATGTAAGCAGTACACCGACGTTTGGTCTGCACATACAGGCAGCCGTTAATTCGTTCCATGGAAAGAAGAAACAGAAGAACGATCGAAGTATCAGTGGTATAACGAACAGTTTCACCGATACCAATAAGGTTAAGCCTGGTAGCGGCCAGTTGAAAGGTCTGTTCGACGGATTGAGTCACTTTTTTTCAGTACCTACTAGTAGCAGAGTAAGATCTAGCGCGTTGACGCCTAATTACGCGCCCGATAGAAGGAAGCGGCCTAACGCGGACGACAGCGAGTCTAACAGAACGAGTAAAGTTTCCAAAGGAATGCAGATTAATAAGATCAAGCGTGACAGCAACGCGGCGTCGTCTGGTTTAGGCAAATCGAAAGAGAAAAAAAAGACGGAGGCGGGTGGCGACGTGCCGAGGGTTCCTCGGCCTGGCATATTCACACCTTCCGACGAAACTTTATTCAGTTCTCTTAACGAGAAACTACCAAAAATGACACCGTCGAATTTAGTTAAAACTGCGGTTAATAGCAAAAGGCACGAACACGAAAGGAGGAAACTAATGAAAGATGACGCGCCGTTAGTGAAGTGTGCGGCTAGCGCATCATCGCCATCGTTGCCACTGCCGTTGTTGTCATCGTTATCGTCGTCGTCGTCATCATCGTCATCGTCGTCGTCGTCGTCGTCTTCGTCGTCGTCATCCTCCTCGTCGTCGTCGTCGTCTTCGTCGTCGTCATCGTCTTCGTCGTCGTCGTCGTCGTTTCCATTACCGTTACCGTTACCGTTATCGTCACCCTTACCGTTACCGTTACCACCGTTGCCATTATCATCATCATCACCGTCTACTTTGCCGTTGTCCTCGCTGTCGTCATCGTCGTCCTCACCATCATTGCCGTCGACGTCGTCAATGCCGGCATCGGCTCTTAGGCCCGATCAGCATTCGCGAAAGAGGAACACACTCGTGGAAGGGAGCCAGACACGCCACCCTGTGCCCGCCGTTTCGAAATCCGGCCTGAGTTCCGATTCCGTGAAATCAATTCCCAGCCTAAAGTCCAATCCACGAGCCTGTACTAGCGCCACCACCACCAACACCACCACGACACCCCGCGCGACACCCTGCTCCACCAGGAAGGGTAAGAATCTACCCCACCCGTTCACGAGTCCTAACCTCGATGATGCACCCAAGTCGCAAAGAAGAATTCCCTCTAATCTAATCCTCGCTCACCACCACGTGGATGTGTTGGCGGTGTGGTGTGGTATGATGTATGTGTTCATGTACGTCTGACATAATCTGTTTCAAGAAAACGTGATTGTTCTCGTACTAACTAAAGCTGATCTTTTCTCCGGTACGGTCCATCGATGAATGTCAACATTGTACATCGTGTAATGCAAATTAATTGTATAACGATCAAGAATCGAACGACGTGGTTACTTCACGCGTAATCAATAAGAACAATCAGGTCTCTTGATAGGACGTATTGTTTATCGCTTATCACGTGGTGTAAAACTTATGGAAACCTATGGATTTTCTAGCTGCAAAAGGCGTCTGTCGTTGTTCGACGTTGTTTCTCGTTTCGTTCAGCGTTTTTTTTTTTTTTTTTTTTTTTTTTTTTTTTTTTTTTTTTTTTTTTTT